TCTTTATCCACCAAGGGGTCCACCCATGAAATTTAGAGAGAAGGATGTCATGTGGGACAGTGTCAAACGCCTTGCAGAAGTCCAGGGTATCAGTTGCTCTGCCCCTATCTACAAATTCTGTGGCTCCATCATAGAAGGCCACCAAATTCATCAGGTATGACTTGCCCCTGGTAAAGACATGTTGGTTATTACCAATCACCTCTTTACTTTTCACGCCTAAGCATAGCTTCCAGGAGAATCTGCTCCATTATCTTTCCAGGCACAGAGGTAATGGATTCAAGGACAAGGGGTAATGGATTCAAATTGAGGGAGGGGAAATTTAGGCTAGATATTAGGAAAATGTTTTTTCCTGTGTGGGTGGTAAGACACTGGCAAAGGTCCAGGGAGGTAGTAGAAGCCCCAACTCTGGCAGCGTTCAAAGCCAGGCTGGATGAGGTCTTGAGCAACCTGATCTAGTGAGGAGGTGTCTCTGCCCATGGCAGGGGGGGGTGGGACTAGATGAGCTATAAGGTCCATTCCAACCCCTTAACATACTATGATTCTATGATTCTGTGATCAAGTGTCAGTAGCTAGGGTGCAAAACATCTCCAGTGTGTGGAGGCTGGGCAAGCTGGTGTTATCAGCTAGGCAAAAATATGTAGACTGTTACAGGAGATGTGGAAGGGAAAGGTGGAGAGAATTTGGATAACTTTGCCAGGATAACTCCCCCTGCCACCTGAGAACACAGTTCTTTATCTTTTCCCCAGGTCTCTCCTTGTCCCCTACTGCTGAACATACCTCGTCGATGCCAGTCACCGAGTAAGCATGGCCCTTTATAAGGCCAAAAGGGGTTCGAGCTTCTGATTCTGCAGCACTGCTGGTCTGAAATACAGGGGAAAAAAAAGTGAATCTCTCTCTTCAGAGTGAGATCACATGTGGTGCCACCAGGTCCCTTCCAAGTGCCAGCTGGGAGGTCAGTGGCTAATCAGCGTGATGAACAGGGAAGTTGTCTGTCTGCTCAGTGTTGACAGTGGTGCTCTTTTAGGAAAGTTATGGGTTTCTTAAAGCATCATTCACTCAGAACAAAAATAAAGTGGTTCCAGGGTGGAATTCCTTCTCTTTTCCTGTAATTTTGTTTCAGCATCATCTAGATTTCCAGGATCTCAATCTTAACTTCCATTTAAATGTAGTTTGTGTCAGCTAAGGAATGGGAAAAGGTGCTCTCAGGCTGAGATCAGGTGTTGATATGGTCTCATTTATTGTAAAAAAGATATTGATGGACAGTGATGTTAGTGAAAGGTGCCATCAGCCAATATCACACTCTATTTCAATAAATATTTAATTAGTCTTTGCAAGCAGCACAGAAAAAGTGAAGCTCAAATCAGAAAACATTGAACCCCAGAACTGAGGCCACAGTCTTGAATAAAAAAGAGAGCTTGTGGAAAAACCCTCCTTTCAGTTAGGCAGGCGATGGGTTTGAGACAACAGGCCTCCCTCAGCCTGGCCAAATGTTCAATGATGAGGCTTTTGGGCAGAGAGCAAATGAAAGCCTGTCTCCTTCTCCCCCAGCCTGGGCACTCCTTTTGCCTTTTCTACAAGTGTCTGAAAGGGAAATGAAACATTTTGTGCTTGGTAGGAATATTAATTTGCTCTGAAACCATTTTCTCCAGCTGCTCATTCTGGTGGAGAACCCTGGCACACTTTTGTTTCTGTGCTGCCTTTCTTGCTGAGCACAGTCAGCAAGGAACAGAGCCTCTTTCACTCTGGCTGTTTTGCAGCTCAGGCAATTTTCACCACAAAGCCAAGGACACATACACAGCTCTTTTTACCCTGGGTCTGACACACTGGCCAAGCAGTTTAAGTAACCCATGCAGGTACTACCCACCAGCAACCTTGGCTGGAGGTTTTAGTTACTGGAGGGATAAATCTGACACACCCTAAGACCCAGACTCTGTTTACAAACAAACACACTGATCCTGAAAATTGTGAGGACTTGGGGGAAATCAAGACCAATGTTATTACAGAATTTAGTGCTGAGAAAAAAACCAGTTGTGTAGTCTCTGGAACGAGTAAGTCCTCAAAAAAAACTACAGCAAACTTTAATGCTAAGTGACCAAATAAGTCAGGAAATGAAGTCCTCTCTCATTGAGTACTCATACTCACATCATTATTGCCTTAAATACACAGGCCATCACCTGCTGAAAAGTCCTGAATTTTTCTTCTTTTGAACAACTGTACTAAGGACTACATTGATATTACATATATACCAGTTCATAGTCTGCAGAGTTAAGAGCATATGCATCTACTTTTGATTAATTTAACCAGTCTTGAAAAAGTAGTGGGTTTAATGCAGAAACCACAAAACTAAACTGAGAAATTCAGACCCTGCTTCTTACTTACATCAATAGAGCAGCCCACCATTGAGCATCTTTTCAGGGCTTTTTCTAGGATTTCATAGAAATTGTCAGGAGCTGCCTTAACATCATATGTTTCTCCTATACCCCCAGTGAAATCCTCCATGGCTTCTATCGTACTGCCACCTTTCAGAGCCTCATAGCTGCCATTCAGCCTGGAAAACAGATGATGATGGTGAGAACTGCTTTCAAAACCTTGAAGAGATCCATGTTTGAGAGCTTTCTGACATATATGTAAAATCATAGCAATGGCACTGAAGTCAAAATAAGTACCTCAGAATGTACCCAGGATATATGAGAGGAGCATTGGGATCATTCTGCTTTCCTTTTTTATTTGCATTTTTAATTAATGCTTTTCTCCATATCCTTAAAGCCTAGGGCTTTTCTTTCTTTAGTGCCAGTTGTCAGGTTGGCAAGAGCAGCATCAAATGCTAACCACCTTCCTCCCAAAATAAATAAATACTATCTAGAAGCTATTCATGAGACTTGTGAATAACATATGAACAAGTTGTGAATAATGTATGCACAAATAGCAGATTATGTATGTGCAATGTGACTTACTTGGCATAGGCTTTCTCTAGTAAGGCACTCCAAAATTCATTGAGTTCAGCTGAGTGCAGGAAAACGAGCCGATCTTTGAAGGTTGGTAGTCTGTCATCAATCACGACATCCAGCCACTCGTTGTGCTGCCAAAACTGTTTAGAAAGGATGGGGCACATGTTTGCTGACAGCATGCCATTTCCTGAGCATAGCGTTCTGGTGTCCCAGTATTTCTAATTGTAAGTTGGTGGCAACCATAGGCTTGATTAGAAGATGTGTAAATCATCCATTCTCACTCTATCATGCTAGGCTGCCCTCTAGGAAGGGTAGTCTATCTTAAGAAAGGACTAAGACTGAAAATGTAGACCTGTACTGTAGCTCCTTCCAGCTCACGTAGCTATACAAGTATTCACCACATGATTCAAGACACATTTAAGACACACAGGTATTACAGATCCCAGTTCAACTCCTTCAAGGACTTATATCCTAAGTGAGGTCTGTGTGCCCAGGAAAATATGAAATGATTTCTAAAGCCTTGTATCTCTTCACAGAGCAGGAGTGGCTGCACATGTGCCTGTGGGAGGCTGATGTAGCCCTCTAGGTTGTTTCTCAAAACACAAACAACAGTGTAAGCTCAGCAACATGTATTTTTAAAATGTTTCCTCTGTAGTATATAGCAACCCCACTGAAAAATAGACCATGACATGTAATGACTGAAATGTGTTCTGGCAGTGCAAGATGTTCATCTTACCTGGAAGTGAAATATTCCAGCATAACCTGGCCCAAAATTTTGATCCAGTGGCACCACTCTTGCTAGCATTTTTTCATTCAGTGTGAGAGAAGCTATGGCTGCTAATAGCCAGCAGTCACCTGTGAATTGAGAAGGGGGAAACAACCTCATTTTTTTCCCTCAAGAGAAGAAAAAGGGGCCAGATAAAATGTTACAGCAGTTAGCTGCCACTCCTCTTGAAATCTAAAAGACAGTCCATGTGTCACCAGAAAGGGTGCTCCTGGCCAGCTAGGGCAGACTGTGCTTCAGTCTGGAGGTGCTGGTAGACAAAAGATTCCCTTGGGCACACAGTACCCTTGAGTGGAGATCCTTCCCTGACCTTGAATCCCACTGCACCAAGATGATTCCTGGCACAGACTGGAGAGAGTTAGCTGCGAGCCAGGTGAGCATGGGCAGTACCTCCAGCTTCACCGTTCCCACCGGTTCAGGAGAGACAACATCCTCTCATGTGTGAGGATACAGTGTGTAGTCGTAAACGCAACCACCCAGAGGGAATAACTCACCAAGATCCCCTTGGCAAATGTCAGTTCTTGTGGCTCCTCCAAGGATAAACTTGGGGTCTTTGACAATGTCCTGTAACAGAGACAGAAATTACTTAGAACATGCCAGGAAAGTACCACCATCACTCTGAGCCCAGACTTGCACCAGTGCTGACAAACCCTGAGCTATATTATACTGTAGTAGTGTAGCCACCACAAAGAACTAGATGGGGAATTCTTGCTAATTAATTACAGTGCAGCACAATTAAAAAATCAAGTATCCTCATATTGTTCATAATTAGTTGGCTGCTAATGAAAGGGTGTCATTCTTTATTCGTCTGTAGGCAATTGTTAAAATATCATAGCACAAACTAGTCCAGAAGCTTGATGTTAGGCTGCAACCCTGACTGACAGGGCTTTTTGTTTGTTTGCTTTGCTCCAATAGCTGGAAAAACTAAAATTGGCAATTAACTTTTAACCTAATTATTAAGTCTTTTATTTGCTAGCACATAATACCTGGAACATATAGTGTCTGACAATCATGATAAAATTTGTTCCTCAAATAAGCAGACAACAAAGGCAGACTTTAGCCAGGTTAATTTTTAGGAGAAGCTAACACTACCCACACTTCTGTGCTCGGAGGTCAGAGGGACCGGTGCTCATGGTGGCTTTTAAAGCAATTCTCAAACATTCATTTGACTGTTTTACTTCAATTACTGGCACCATGGCTGGAGAGAAAAATTACAGTGATAAACAAATAAATGTGGCAGGAATTCTCCTCTCCCTTTTTGCATGAACTGTACATTGAATTTAATTGATTGAACTGAATAGAAAAGGTGAGAGGAGAGAATCACTGAGGAATATGCCTGTAGTTAATCAGTCTGCCCTGGTAAGTTATTGCAGACCCTATGGCATGAAGCAGACCCTTCTGCCTAAGCAGCAAATAAAACAAACTAAAGGGGGATGGGGGTTTGGGATATAGAAGAACACATCCAGTCATTTAATCCCTGCATTTACCTAGAAGGAAACTGTTGCTTTTAGTTTGTATCATCTCTTTTTGTCAGGCCATAGGGCAGAAAGTTGATAGCTTTGTTCAGTTTCCTGCAGCTATTGCTGAAGCATCGGCTACTGGTCACTGCCAGAGCCAGGACACTCTCCCCAGTGATCCAGCACTGCTCCCACAAAGCTCACTGTGCAGACACAACCAGGAGGAAGCTGGTTTGCATATTTTGTGTTTGTCTTTGCTGGGGAGGAGGTGGTGGACAGGTTGTGTTTCAGCCACAGGTGCCCTGTGAAGGAGGTACCACAGAACATCATGTCCCAGGAGCATGAAGCAAAGGGAAACCAAATAGTAGCTCCTCCTTACCTGGCCCGCCTGCTTGTTAAATACACTTAGTTTTGTTGGAACTGGTCATGAACAATAAAAACCACAGCTCATTGCCTTTAGACATTGATATAACAGTGGCTGACAGAGTAGCTGATCTTCAACAACACACCTTGTTTTAGCACCATTGTTCCCAGGAAACATAACTCTCATCACAAGTAATGTATTTAGCTGTTACCGAGAAATTCTATCTGCTAACAAGGGCAAGATAAAAAACCTTCTCATTAACATGAGGCTAAACATCAGATTCATGACTCGTTGCTTATTACACATCTCTGCAACTGACATATGGAAAAATATTTTCAATCTTTTATGTCTAATGCAAACAGAAATAATTTTTAAACAATCAATAAAAGGAATTGAAAAGATTTTGACTGGGCCTGTGCCACATTCTCTGCTACACAAAAGAACACACTCTACAGTTTTTGAGTGCATGTTGCAAAAATAATATTCATTATTGAATAATATTGACTGTATCATATATGTAACAATAACATTCAATGTTCAAAAAGTTCTTGCATTCATACACAGATTACAGTGACTCAAGGATTCACCTGTACAAGGATATTGCCTAGAAGTAGGGATGTTCAGTCCTCAGAGAGATAAAACAAGGTGACCTGTGGCACCTGTTACATCAAAGCTGTGTTTCTTTAAACTCAGAAGAAAACAAATTGCATCCCCTGCATCTGTCTCACATTGGTAGAGGGGGTGCATAAAGACCAAAACCAGGCTGAGGGTGAAGCTGTTTAGGTGGTTTCTGTGATTACATTTCTCTGCCTGGTTCCAGCATACAGTACTTATCATACTGGTTGCCTGTGTGAGGAGTATTTCTTTCTTACTTCCTCCTCTAGACCATAAACTCATTTGACATTGGTAAAACCCAATTGTCTTTCCTTTTTGGGGTTGTTTTTTTTTAGTCTTCAATTTATATGTCCAACTACTGAGCTGTTGAATCCATCCCAGCAGTTGAATTTAGCTAGAAAGTAAGAAGGAAAAAAGGAAAAGGGGAAATATGTGAAAAGGGTTTCTGTTCTTCAGATTGTTCTAAAATTTTATAAGATACAGTTTCAAAGGTTTAATATGTAATGAAAAGGGATTGCTAAACAAAATATTTTCCTGAATCTTATAGCACTTAAGATTTATGCAGGAAGTCAGATATTCATGTAGTGCGGATCCATGCAGCTCACTGATTGCAGTGGGAGATTTACAGGTTAGGTCTAGCTGAGGGTCTTGTTTATGCTGCATACAAACATATATACATGCAGATATATGTATGTCAAAATAACGAGAAAGCCTTCCCTACTCTCATTACTAAGGATCAAACAGATTGGAAATCTGAAGATGTACAGTATTTGCCCCTGCAATTACCCACATGCATTGTGTTACACTTCAAGGTACTGTAAAATACTGGTAGAAGAGGCAGTAAAAACTAGTCCCTGTGAAAAGCAGATTGAACACAGATACCCTACACAGAGGCCATGCTCTTGTGGTCATCCTCTCCAGCACCACAGCTTCACCAGCTGAGCTGTGGCAACTAACCTGGCACATACTCCAGGCCTATGTCCCACTTGCTGAGTAAAACATGTTACATCGTAATGGAAACAGTGCCTCTATTGCTGCTGCTCCTGATGGATAATAGAGGTGAAACTGATTTAGCTTAAATGCTGAGGAGCCAGAGAAGAGCATAACTAATACCTTGTCCTTACACATCCTTTCAGCCTCCCCTGAGCTTTGTTTCTCACTGTGCATCTCACTAAAATGCGTGGTGGGAAATGGAGTGTAAACACAGATGCTGTTACTCATCCTGGAAATGTTTCCAGTCCAGCATGCAGAAGAAGACAGACCATCCTCCACTGCCCCTGTGTACCACGTACAAAGGCATGCAAACTCTCAACCACTCCTGGTCACATTTTACTTGTTCCTGAAACACTAGGAATTTTACCCATCATCTTCAGTTATGGTTCCAAAGCACCATAACTGGAGTGTGAACCAGAGGTTGGAAAAGACCTCAAAGACCATCGAGTCCAACCCTACCATTGTTATTAGACCATGGCACTAAGCGCCACATCCAGTCTCGTCTTGAAACCCTCCAGGGGTAGTGAATCCACCCCAGACAGCCCATTCTAATGCCTGAAAACTCCCTCTGTAAAAAATCTCTTCCTAATATCCAACCTAAACCTCCTCTGGCAGAGCTTGAATCTGTGCCCTCTTGTCCTACTGCTGATTGCCTGGGAGAAGAGTTTAACTATTGTGAAGCCTCAAATAAATAAAAAATAAGACAAACTAGCACTTAACATCCGCCTGGATGAAACACGTTCTTTATGATTTAGTGTCGCAGGCACTTGCATCTTTGATGCCCCAGAGCACTCCAGAGTCACCACACCCAAAAACATCTCAGCCTCACAGCCCTCACCTGCGCTGGGGGGAGTCCAGCAGCCCCCCTGGTTTTTGGAGCACAGACAGGCAAGGCAGGCAGCAGTGCCTGTGGGGGCTGCACTTGCTATTTTTTTTCCTAACTGAAATTGTCCAGGAGTAATACCTTTAATTCTGCTCTGTAGTGGTGCTATATTTACTAACAGATACTGAGGCATTTGAATGCCTATCACTGTGGATTAAGATAAGCCAAAATTTAAACACTTCCTTAAGCTTATTTTGTTCTTTTTCTCCCTTGGTATCAGTGTCACCAAAGGAAAGTTTTCTACTAAGAAAGAAGCTTTCAGACTATGAAGAAAAAGAGAATAAACATCAGTCATTAGCAAAGAAATTAAATGTTGCCACAAATTATCTATGGTTATTAGTTACAGAGTGAAGTGAGGAGAAAGAACCCGGAGTGATGCTGGGTTTGTGATCTAGCATAGCAAACTAGCACTGAGAGCATGTGACTAGCAAAGCTTCAGGCTCTCACTGTGTTATTAATGACTGTTATGCAAGATGCATTAAGAGATACTCATCGAGCCCTTGGCTACTGCTGAATGGCTCAGTAACCATGGCATGTATTCGTAATCTCTCAGTGTTTCCTGATGGAAGTGAGCACATAAGACTCTCATACTCTGAAAGTTAAAAGCTCTGAATTTTTTAAGTTTAACCTTAATTATGAATTTCCTACATTAACAACACTCAGTTTTCCATAGTTAGAACATCATCATAATGTATTTTACCCTTAATTCCTTGCATGTCTTCTGATTTTCATGTTTTGTTTAGCAAAAAATGTAAGAGAGAAGGCTGATTATGAGTTGTTTATGCATGCATATAAATACACATGTATAAGTGTGTCTATATAATGAGCTACATCTGAAAAATGGGGTGAAGCCTTCCAGCCCTCTCATCCTGCAGCTCGAGCTCTTTGTGGGGGACATCTCAACCCTGTGCTACTGCCCCTGAGGTGGGAAAGGGTCCCCTCACACTTCATCTCCACATCTCCCTGAACACTCCATGCGCTTGATGCGATCCCGTAACACAGTGGTGCCTGAACTTTGGCAGGATGGAAGAAGAGAACACAGTGGCATACTCACCCCAGGCCTCTTCCAGATGAAGGGAATGGGTGGGTTTTCACTGAAGAAGAGAGAGGAGTTGCAGGCGGGGAAGTCAGAATCCTCGAAGAGGATCCCCTTGTGCAGGCACTCCTGCTTCAGCTCCTCGTAGCCCTTCCCTGAGCTGTGGGTGGTACGTGCAGACCCAGGCTGTGCAGGTGGCCTCGGCTTTGAGTCCTGGTACAGGTAGGGCATGTCTCCCTCCTACCTGCCAGAGAGAGCCCAAGGAGCCACGGCTTAGCTGGTGATGGGGATGTTATGAGAGGGAAAACAGGAGGAAGAAGAGAGGGGAGCAAAAATACCTCAAGTGCCTTGTGAAGGAAAAGGAGGAGGAAAGGATTGTGTGGTGGGGGAGCTGGCAGTATCCTCCAGTGCTCCTCCGTTGCACCTCCTTGAACTGCAGTATGAGACTGACCTCCTAGCTGCTCTGCATAGAGCAAACACCCTGAAAGCAAACAGTGAGGGAAAGCAGCTGGTCCCAGCCACCCTGGGAGTGGAGTGGGAGCGGCCAGCAGGCGCCCAGTCCTCCCCAGGGCTGAGCCACCGTGCCTGCCTGGCGAGGAAGGGTGTGCATGGGGCTTGGCACTACTCCCCACCCGGCACAGGTTGGGTGAGAGGTTGTCACCAGGGCAGGAATGGCTTCAAGCTATGCAGCACCCAGCCAGAGCCCTTGAATTGTGTGGTGCCAGTGAGCCTTGAAAGAGAAACCAGAGCCCCATGGTGAGGTGTAGCCAACAGTGTGAGTTTGCCTGTTTCTCACAGGTGGTAGAGCATCCTGGCCTTACTGGTGAGAAGGTTGCCTTAGTGGGCAGGTATTGTCCCTGTTGATGACATGCAGGTGGGACAGCAGGGCTGAGAGGTGGTCATGGGCACGGCTGCTCTGCTGGCAGGATTCTGGGTGCAGGGCAAAGGCTGTGTGCGCACAGGACAGGTGTTGAAAGTTAGAAGGAAGGCTTGGAGCAGGATGTGTTCTGGGCAAACACAGGAAAAGGGGGTTGCCCCCTTCTCCCAAGTAACCAGCAACAGAACATCAAGAAATGGCCTCATGTTGCACCAGGGGGGTTTATAATAGATATAAGGAAAAATTTCTTCATGGAAAATGTTGTCAAGCATTGGAACAAGCTGCCAAGGGAAGTGCTGTTGTCACCATCCCCGGAGGTATTTAAAATACATGTAGATGCAGTGCTTAGGGACATGGTTTAGTGATGGACTTGGCAGTGCTGGGTTAGTGGTTGGACTCCATGATCTTAGAAGTCTTTTCCCACCTAAATAATTCTGTGATTCTTCTGCTATCCATCTTTTACCTGCAGCATCATATCTCACATCAGACAGTAAAACACCGTGCTGGAGAGGATGCCAGACAGTGCACCATGGATGATGCTCTGACGGAATGATGCTCAGAGCCAAAGAGACATGGATATTCCTCTCTGCTTGGAAAGGGAAGAGATGCCACCCTCTTGGAACAAATTACAGTTCCTGTAATACAAAACACAGCCCTGAGTACAAATAGCGCTCAGCCTCCCTTTGCTTTTATTGGCCCTTTGGTGGACCAGTCAAGCTTGCTGCCAGGAGATGATTTATGGAGAGCAATTAGGTGAAACAGAATTAGTTCCTTTCTGTTCTGCTATTTTTCACAGCAGTGCTGTGAGGAAAGCCTTCTTTTTCGGAGCATATATTCCCACGTTTATTCACCATAATTGCATCCATTGTTGATATCTGAAAGCTCCCTGCTGAGACCAAATTCCCATTGTCCAAATGTGTGAGAAGAGGCAGGCCTGGTGCTCCAAACGTGGCCATCATTTGATCAAACTTTAGACTTGCAGAACAGAGTTCAAGGTACTCACCTCTGACTTTTTCTGCAGTCAGTGAGATGATCTGAACCTTCAGAAACAGAAAGTGACTCACTGCATACTCATCCATAAGATCCAGTAGGAGATGACTGTGTTTTCCATTTTCCTGTAGACAGACCCTCATGGACTAGCTTAGGGTAGATGCCCAGCTATGAAATGCATATAGTCAATTGCGAGGGACCCAGCCAAAGGGATAAGGCAGGTGAAAGGTGTTTAAGTGCCAACACAAGCCCAGGGATGTAAAGTACCCAACACCCCACATTCAGCCAGTGACAAAACCAGGATCTTAATTTATCAACAACACCTATGTGTGGGCCAAGGCATGTTCTCATACACCAGAGTAACATGCTGACAGGGGAAGGAGATGTTCAGCATCCTAGACATGCTGCCCCCACATCTGCTACATCCCAAGCAGAGTGACCATGTATCACTTCAGGGATTTCTTTTTAGAGTTCAGTTGTATACAGAAACGTGGGCTGAGCTCTATGGGTACTTGTCCTGCTGCAGGGGAATTCATGCAGTTTCTCTCCTGTGCAAACGCTCTGGTGTGCAATGAGGAATGTTTTCATGCTGTAGTCTTGCTCTCAGAGGGCAAGGACAGCCTTTCCCTCTCCTTGCCCTGCTGCTTCATGTCATGATACTTCAGGGAATCTTCATGTCTCTGAAATCTCTGCCCTGGTGTGATGGCACTAAACGTGTCCAGGAGAGATGGTGTCTGGTGAAGGCAGGTGGAAAAAAGAGGAATGAGCAGAAAATGCTTATAAAATGTCTCAGTTCTCAGGAAAATACGATACCTTGCCCATCACATATTGAGAATCGTGGGCTCATCTCTGAGGCTCTCAAGTCTGGAAGGGCAGAAACAAACAAACATACATGTGACTTATGTATTTACCCCACTCAAGAATTTTACAAGGACTTTAAGCAGTTTTGTTCTTTTACCATGAAATCCCCTTTTGAAAGCAGTGAGAGTGCATGTCTCACCTAAGATGACTCTGGTTATTGCTGCCACTTGCTGGTTTCAGCAGCTACACAGGGTGGGAGGAAAGTGCAACACAGGTCCTGTGATACTCTATTATGGACAGACACCAGCAACAAGTTCCTACTTGCTCAGGAGAGTGACAGGCAGGATTTGAGCCACTGACCTAGAACACCTTTGCTCCTTAGGTGTCCTGGTCCACTGAGTAAAAGCAGGGTATATTTTAACACTCCCTGGAACAGCAGATGAGCAGAGACGATGAGAGGCTGTGACACCAGGCTGTGTACATTTTCATTTGGCACACTGTTGCAGCAGACATATTGTGACACTTAAGCACTACAACACAGCCCTGAGTAAAAAAGTCCTTCCTCTAGGATTACACTGTCTGGGGAACTGTAGGTTTCCAGCCCACTGGCCCTCTCCCAGCAGGGGTGATAGTGCAGGTCTGTCCTTGGTCTGTGAAGTCAGTGAGTGCCTGCAGCTTGTGAAAGCACTATCAGCCAAGAGAGAGGTGTCAGATTGAATGCAATTAGTTGCCAGTAGGGCACCTCTGGACAGCATCAGGCTTCTGTGGACTGCAGAGATCTCTCTATGAGCCACATCACCAGGCAAGATTTCAAGGTGACAGCAGATCAGCATGAATGCACAGGCTGGCAACATATTTCAAAGATGAACACTGTTTCCTTCCAGGGAAAATGCCTGTTCCTGAAACACCAGGAATTTTATCCATCATCTTCAGTCATGGTTCCAAAGCACCCAGGGAGTGTGAGCACCAGAGCAATTGCAGATGCCTTCAGGCATTGCCCTCCTGCCTAGCCACACTGGTCATTCCATGACACCAACAGAGGGGCCCAGGTGGGCATTGTGCTGTAGGAGCTCTGGCTCTGGAGGAGGGTGAGCATCGTCTGCCAAGAGCAGTGCCTCAGGCACACTTACTGCTGATAGGAACAGAGTAACTTCTGTCTGCTACCGGGTCAGACTTCCTTGGATCTTCTTACTTTCTTCAAGAAGGCAGAAAATCTGATTAGTTTTCTGTGGTTTGAACTGCTTTTACTCTGAGAGAGACTCTTATTCACTTTCCAGCATAATTCATGGAGTAGAAGGTGACATAAAGAGAATTGAAAAGGCCTGATGTAGGAAACTATGATTTCCACTTCTCCTTTACTTCCTTGCTTAGCATAATGCTACAGCTCTGACTTTCAGCCCCCACTGTTCTGCATCTGGCATGTGCTTTTTCTGAGTCACACTTATGTAATTCCTTCCCCATTAACATCAGGTAGAGTCTGGTCATTCCAGATTTAAAGTTGGTTATTCAAAGGACAGCAACCTGATTAAATCTTTCATAATCCTGTTGCCATTAAACCTCATGTCCTGTCACCAGTTCAGCATTGGAAGTTTTATCTGTAGCCTTTGACCTGACTGATCCCACTTCTCCAGTGCTTGTTGCCTGCTGGCTGAGTGCCTTCAGTGTCATCTGACCTTCTCTAAGGGACTGGTTTAAGCTAGAATATTTCATTTTTGTGCTTTTTATCCTGGGACATGACTGGCTCTGTCTAGGTCCCTTTATCATTCTCCTTACATTTGCAAAGAGTTAAGAGTAGATGTTATGTGGACTGAAGTGCCATCCATGAAGCTCAGCAGCTCTCTGTCCTTCCTTCTTGCTCTGAATCTGTATGAAGTTATATAAAACATCTTTGTTCTGTCTCTGAGATTAGTCTCATTTCACACTGCTTGGCGCCCTCTGAACCTTGCATTGATTTGAATCCAAATGCCACAGTCACATGAAACCATGCTGTTTCTGATACTTTCCATTACTTTGGCTCAATGCAGAGCATGGACTTCTAGCTGGTGGCTTGCAGCCTGGCAGGCTTTGCATATGCTTCTGCACACATCTTTGCTAACTGAGCACATGTTCTATCGCTCTAATAACAGCTGAGATCAGAAAAAATCGAGCCCAGCTTTGGGCTGTTTTTTTAAGGACTTTTCTGTCATCTTTGTCAATAAAGTAATACATACTTTCTCTGGAGTTGATAGGGTTCACTTCAAAGGGGCTGGAGCATCCTTCTCTCCCTCATTTCCAGAGGTGGAAGCAAGGTAGAGGGAGAGGAGGTGAGAAAGGTCAGCTTTAGGGGTTCTGCAAGTCAGGCCTGAGGACTGGATGGCCCTATAAAATGTCCTGAACAGCCCATTGAAAAATGCTAGAGAGCAACGAGAAAAAAAGAGTATTGGAAATCAAGGAGAGGGTTTTTAGGAAGTGCCCTTTGAACATCCTGCTGATTAAAAAAGGTATCTTGGAGTAATTGTAGGATATCAAGATCTCATTCAAAGGAGAATTACAGTGAATATTCATTATCATTTTGCATAGTGGT